ATTTCTCGTAAGTGTAAGCAAATCTTAAAATGATAGGATTTGTAATGATACGATCTTAAAACGAGCAATTCAGTAGTCTTATTCAAAACACCAAACACCCGCCACTGGATCAAAATATGCCCGCACGGCGCAATCCGGCACGGTGGGAGGCCCCTCTCGTACAATTTAAATTACGTACATAAGCCAAAAATAAAAAAATATGGTTTAGAACATTTCACTTTTTGTATACAGAATCCACTGTTTTTAAACTAACCTGACCAAAAAATAAAATAAAGTAGTAGCCGACAAAAAAAGTTCCGTGGAAATTTGCTATGTCACGTTTCATAAAACATAAAAAATAATCGACTTTATTTGAATATTTAAAATGAAAAGTACCGGGGGACCGAGCCGTGGCTCAGTATTTCGATTGTAAAAGCAATATAAAGTAAACTCGTGTTTTCTTTATAACTAATTTCGGCTTTTATTGTTTAAGTTTCAGTGGAATTTCAATTTACTATGATGTAACTTTAAATGGACAATGCAACACATTACTTTATTTTAATCTTACACATTTCTGTTATTGTAAATAAATTATAGAAATTTAAAAAAAATAAAAGTAGTATTTTTTTAAATACGTTCTTAATGAATGAATTAATATGCGATCACAGGTTAATACAGTAGCAATCAACTACACAGCATTAAAACAGCACAGTGTATGTAAGGGGTGTGATTTATTTCTTGGTACTAAATTAAGTCATTCTTCAAGTATAAGTAAAACTTCAGCATGGGCATACTCTCTAACATAATATCATATGATGGATTAGCTGAAGGCAGATAAGTCCGATTCAAGCTTATTGCTTACTATAAAGATTGTTGTAATACAATTAACTTTAACTAGTGGTCGTCCAGTGGTCGAAAACTCGACCAAAAATATGTAATGTACAGGTTCCAAATGATTTAGGCCTAAAACTTTTTTTCCCAGTGTGAGTAACTAAGGACTTCTGGATAATTTAAATATGATATTTATATGTTTCTTACTCAGGAACAATGCCGTTTCGGGACACTATATAAATGGACGTTAACGTGATTATAAATTTGCATTTTACATAGTCAAAATACAATAGGTATTGCGCAAACGTGATATGTGAAGTCATTAACCTTGGTTTACTAATAAAAACTACACCGTATGCTTACTCAAACAAAACAAAACTTGCTTACTGTACAGCAATAAATCACGTAAAGAACAAAACAAAATGAAAATGTAGACTAGAAGACTACTGATACCGTAGTCATCCTAGGCTACTACTACATGATGTTTCAGAACAGAAGTATGGGGATAAAAATAACTCATAAAACACCATAAAATCATAGTACTGTACTTAAGTCTTTCTGGTAATAATAACAATGATAAAAATAAGATAAAGATAAAAATGACACCTCTTATTATTTCTCTTTGTTCTATTCTTTCTTTGGTTTCTCTACATCCACAAGTTGTCATGGTTACTAATCACCCAACGACCCAACCACAAAATATTGTAGTGTTGTGACAGCAGACAGAAGCAGACGATTGTCAGTATGTCAGTGTCAGTGCAAGATTGTCAGTGTGTAGGTGCGAGCGTATAGGTTGACCTTGACGATACTGATCGATATTTCTCCGTTTTGCTTCCATCTTATTTTTGTTAAATGATCTGTAATATTTCAATAATTGGGAACCTACTGCACATAAAAATTACCGTAAATAGTTAAATATATCGTTCATATCGAAATATTAGACTGAAAAACACAGTTAATAAAACATTTTCTTGGGATTTGTGAGGTTATATAATATATAGGCATCATGATGATGCGACTCCAGTTAAGCGAGGTTCTACTGTATTTGCAAGTTAAAGTTACAAATAGAAAACCCATTATGGTTTGTATTCAATGACCGATGTATTATACAAAATAAATTATAACTTATTTTGATATTAATCAGCAGCATTTATTACAGACTGCACTACTTATTGGCATATATAAATATCCCAGTTACTATTAGTAAAAAAAAAATAAAACACAAAATTGTGTGGCCATTCAATTTTTATAAACACAGTGTTAAACATTTGACTCTGCAGAATACGGGATGGTAAAGAGTGTTTGGTTTCAAGAAAATAAAATAAAAAATAGTTTAACCTGCTTTACTATTTATTTTGAAAAATAATAGATAGGAAACCATAAGGATAGGTATGGGATTGAACTGAAATAATTGCAGGAAAACTTAAATCGTAAAGTCCACAATCTGTACATTGTTAGAGAGCGAGAGAGAGAGAGAGAGAGAGAGAGAGAGAGAGAGATTTGATAAGGAATCTGAAAAGTAAACAAATAATCGTTTCTGGCGTTCGTTATATTGTACCCCCCTCCCCCCCCGTATTTGCACTCGTTGCTTCCTTATCATTCATCCGTCCCAAAATATAATTCCTGTAATAGTTTGTTTGTAAAATTGAAATTATTATAAAAATATTTTATCTTTCGAGTGTAGTTTCATGGTTATTCTTATCAGATAGAATAATATCGTTGTCATATGTAATAGTTACTCCTTCGCGTTACGCAATTGCGTAAAAAACAGTTCCAGTATCTCGGACAAGATTCACGTATATTTCTCGAGATAAAGAAAATCCGTATAGTTCCCGGTCCGTGGAAACACTGTAAATACTAGGATAAAAAATATTGTATAAAGGAGAAGTTGACTAAAATTTCAACTGAAGGTAAAAAAAATCAAAAATAACTTAAAATATGAGATGATGAACGGGTAGGATCAAGATTCAACCAATTATAATTAATTAATATTCGACGATCCTTATTAGAGGTGCATCATATTTATTTGGAGTATGAACATGTTTAAACATTAACACGTAGTTAATCACTATCCCAACACAAATAGTAACAAGGAGTAAACGAAGGTTACAGACCGCTGGGTGTTACCGCTACAAAGTAGGGTAGGGTGCCGTACTTGGCTACACTACTCCACGATAGAACACACGATGAGACAGTCTCCGCATTGGTATTGCAGTTACGCTTATCGACACAGGCAGCAGCACCGGTTTGCTGTTTTCATACGTATAAAGTGCACGGGAAGCCATACCTGACTGGCTTATGGGAGAGCTGACTGGCTTTCGGGCGGGTGACTGCCACACCGAGTAAATTACCAGCGCACTGACTGCCAAACCGGGTGGGCACAAAAGTATATATATATATATATATATATATATATAAACATAAATATATAAATATATAAATATATATATATGAATTTGAACGGATGGTGTTTTTGGCCTCTAGGGACCTCAAAACAAAAAAAAATCGGTCCCACGTCCAGGTCTTACCAAGAGTACTACGGTAATAGCTTATTCCCTATATGGGAAATTCGCTAAAAGAAACAAAAAAAACTAAGAAAGGAAAGGAATGAAAACTTGCTCATGAAGGGGAGAGGAAAGGTTAGAGCGAATCCAATGATCCCTATTGCTGAGGGTGGTATGGGGAAGGTAGTCGTGCTGTTAGGCTTTTGGACACATAATGTGTCTGGAAACCTATTGCGGCTATGAGTAAGGCTATTTGTAGAAACCACTATTTACAATAAATGTTGATGATGTCGATCTGTTATGTACATCTTGAGTATTACCATAATCTTTGAGTCGAATATTTTAAATTCATCAGAAATTATGACTGTTATTCGTTTTAAAATAACGCCTGTAATACTTAGCAATTGCTCGAATTCGAGTAACAGGTACACTAGTTTAAATAGATTTAATTTGTGACACCTATGTCTTAAATCGTGTGTACACTCCAAAAAGGCTCCTCACCTCTTACAGGCATAATTTGTGAACAGAACATCGCCATTTGCAGCTCTGTTAACTGGCGTGTACCCTTTGCTGTCTAATTTTTTTATTTTATTATATTGAAACTCCCTCCGCATGCAGGGTAAGGCTATTAATATAGTTTTTGACTGTAAGAAACATATTGGCTGCATACATTCATTAATGCCAGATGACTGAAGTTTTTGGCCCATATTCAATGAGTTAGGGTAAAGTGCAGAAATGGGTTAGAGTTAAAAATGTCCATTTCGGAAAGAATTGTGTTTTTGGAGGGTACCCAGACTTTTTGCAGAAGGTCACAAAGGAGAAAGAATTTCACGGCAATTTTTAAACTCCCTAACCCGTTTTTACACTTTATCCTCACAGATACGCATTAGGCCACAAGCTTCAGTCATCTGGCTATGAATATCAGCATCGAATATGTTTCTTGTGGTTAAAAATCGTATCACTAACCGTATCTCGCATGCGTCAATGGGAGATTAAATAATTTTGAAACACACAGCAAAGCATACACCAGCTGCAAATGGCACCATACTGTTCCCCAATAATGAAAGTAAGCGGCAATTGTGTTGAAATCGTGAAAGTTAGTGAGTTCTTAGACAATTCTGAGCATACCCACACCGGAAAAATGTACAAGTACCTCACTGAACGTACTATCTAGCATAATAAAACTTGACCAGTGACATTATTTTGTACATTATAAATGTGGTGCAGGTCTCTAAGCCTGAGATGTTAAGGGTGCACTTTACCTCAGCTCGGGCTTCAGTAGCTATGTTTCACCATTGGACAGCGCTGCGAGAAACGCTTGCAGACGTTTCCAAGATTACTGTTTTAGAATTAACAAATAACGATAGCTACGCACTCGAAACGGCTTATAGTAGTACAAAGACCAATCTATAGTTCTGCGTTTTTCAAATGTTCAAAACACGTTTGTTTAATAAGTTAATGCTAGTTGAAAAGACCCTTTTTTCTTGTACTACAACTCAATTTAAAATAATTGAAATATAGAAACAAAGAACTATAGAAAATTTCATCCTCTTTAACATGAGACCTTAACTTTGATTCTACCTTCAATGTAGCAGGTGAAAACAGAAATCTTGCAAACCCTTGCATTCGGTTGCGCGTCAGGGGTAAAGCATGATTGCACAGTAATCTGACATTTGTTGCTTACAGAGTGATCATCCCCGAAGGGTTTGTGATCCGATCACTGACCAGTGAAGATGCCGAGCTGATAGACAACACCTGGGCCTATCACAGTGATATAACCTACGACTACATCCATCACTCTATTGTTCATTTTGGTGGCTTGGGATTGGCTCACAAACACAACAATCACCTGGTCAGCTGGGCTGTAGGAGTTTGGAACACTATAGGAATAGTTCACACATTGGCTGACTACCGCCACAGAAGTTACGCTCAACTTGTCATCAGAGCCTTGGCAAAACAACTGATTAGAAAAAATGTACAACCCATCTGTTTGATCAAATTTGCTAACACCCCATCTTTACAGCTCTTCAAAAAACTAGGATTTAATGAAGTCGGATTGTATTACTGTACAGAACTATCCCGATTACCCGAGGTTGTTAAGACCGAGACTACCTCGGTTACCGAGAACCTTGGATAACACGGATGACGCATGGTTTTGAGGATAAAGGTTACGGTACCAATACTTGGGGTAGAATAAGGCTAGTCAGGTTTGCCCCATTTTCCAACTAAAAGTCATATTTCAGCTATTTCTTATTCAATCTTTTTGAACTTGGTATCTTTGGAAAGGGAATTGAAATTGCTTGATAAAAGTGTTCTTGTCATTTTTTTCATAACATCAGCCATTTTTTTGTAATTTAAGTTTAAAAATTTAAAGTGGCCGCTATTTTCAAAATAAACGTTGGAAAAAAATAATTGTTTATTGGATTTAGACATTTATCTTCTACATTTAAACTTATTCTTTAGACATTTAAGCTCCATACCAAATTTTAACTTGATACATTAATCCATTATGGAAATAGAAATTTTTAAGTGAGATAAACAAAATGGGTGATAGCGGCTAAACGAAGTTAAAAAAATTAGTTATAGAAAAAATTAACTGAACATTTTCGATGCAAGGGAAAGCTTTCGCACTGTCCAACACCGAACAGCTGCATTTGAGAAACTTCCTTCTCAAGTAGGTGTCAGGCTCTTTAACTGTATTAAAAGTCTGGAAAGCTCGCGTCAATTCAAAATTAAACTGAAGCGTGACTTGAAAAATCAGGCTTTCTATTTGGTTGATGAGTACACTGCGCACTGTTGGAGTTAAGGGCACAGTATTATATTCCCCAGGGGTCAAGAGTTAAATGTTTTAAGGCTTTCCTGATAAATGTACAATGTTTTGTTGTTTTCCTCCGTTTCTTTTACGTATTGATTTATTTGTTAAAAGTTAACTTTTATTTAAAGTGTAATTTGATAAAAAAAGTCTATGTATCCTACTTCAATGTAAATATTAGTATAATTATGCTACACAATGTAAAAATTGTCAAGAGCAATAAATAAATAAATTTTACCATTTATGCCTAAAAGAACCTCATTTAAAGCTTTTTATTTTGCTAAATATGAGATCAATCAATCAATCAATAAATCTTTATTCAATACATACAACAAGTGTACATGAATGTGTCATCAACCTAAAACTACTACACATGATTTCACCTACTTCCCTACTTGCTTAGTCATACAGTTTTTTTTGTTACAGTGTTCAAAACTTTCTAAACTATAAAATTCGCTATAAATTAAAAACCCCTTGAGTTTATTTTTGAATTTATTTACGCTACTTTCGTTTCTAATACTGCTGGGGAGGGAATGCATGAATTTGATTCCAATATAATTAGGACTTTCCTTAAATTTTTCTTTTTTATAATTTTTAGTTATGAAATTTAGTTTGTTTCTAGTGTTATAATTATGTATGTCTTTCTGTCTTTGAAGTTCTGATTCATGATTTTTAACATACATTATCGTCTTATAAATATAGAGACTGAAAACGGTAAAGAACTCTAATTCTTTAAAATGATTTTTACAGGATTCGTTTATATCGAGATTAAGGATACACCTAATGGCTTCTTTTTGTAAATGTAAAATTTTGTTTAAATTGAATTTACTTGTTCCTCCATAAATTTCTATACCGTAAGAAATATGTGAGTGAATAGTAGCAAAGTAAACCTTTCTTAAGATTTCTCTGTTGTACAATGGATATAAGCGTCTAATAGCAAAAATACTTGAGGTGATTTTATTACACAAGTTGTCAACATGTGAGGTCCAATTAACTGTGCTATTTAAGGTGAGGCCTAAAAATTTAGTTTCATAAACAAAATTATTGTTAAACAGTTCTTTTCTAGATTTTTTAGATTCAAACTCAATGAACGTTGTTTTATTTTCATTTAGTAAAAGATTTTTTTCATTCAAGTAATCTTTAATTATTGTGAGTGAATCATGAGTTTTATTTATAAGAAGCTCCATATTCTTATCATAAATCGACATACTTATGTCATCTGCATACAAGCACAGAGTATTATTTTCTACATGTTCAAATAAATGTTTTGGCATCCCTCCCAAGTAGCACAAGAACAAGAATGGGCCCAACACTGATCCTTGTGGCACTGAGTATTTTACTGTCCTAACCTCAGATTTAATATGGTACATTTTATTCCCACTTAAATGAACAATGTTAACAAACTGTTGGCGTCCCTCCAGATAAGATTCAATCCAGCTTAACTCTTTGCCACCAATTCCATACATTTTAAGTTTATTTAGTAACTTTAAATGGTGCACGCTGTCAAATGCCTTGGACATATCCAAAAAGGCACCAATTACTTTGTTGTCCTCATCCAACTTTTCCAACACATTTTCAATATAAGATATAAGTGCTGTAGTGGTGGATTTGTTTTTTCTATAACCATGCTGCTCTTTATCTAATAAGTTATTAATTTCAAAATAATCCACTAGCTGAAAAAGAAAGCATTTTTCAAATAATTTTGAAAGAGCTGGTTGAATTGCCAATGGTCGATAGTTATTTGGATCTTTTTTGTCTCATTTTTTATATACCGGGATAATTTTTGAAATTTTCAGCTTATCAGGATAAACACCTGTTATAAGTGAAGCATTAATGACGTGTAAAAGTGGCTTTAATAAAACAGATTTAGATTCTTTTATTATTCTAATCGGAATTTCATCATAACCTGATGACCATTTAGGTTTTAATTGGTCTATTATGGATATTAAAATTGGTTCATCAATTGTTTTGCACTTAAACTTAGTGTTTGAAGCAAAATTTTCAGAACTAGTTTGGGTTTTATTCAGATTTGGTAAAACATGATGTTCCACCATATCAGCAAAATTATTGTTTAATATATTTGAAACAGCATATGGGTCCTCTATTTCGGCACCATTCTGCATTAGTATAACATTATTATGCACCTTATCTTTTTTACTTTTAGTTTCAGAGTTCACAATCTGCCAAACAGTTTTGTTAACATTGGTCGAGTTCCTAATTTTATTGTTAAAATGATTTTTTTTCTTAAGCTTTATAATTTTTCTATATCTTTTTTTACGTTCTTTAATACAATTCTTTAACTTAATGTTACTTCTATCATTCCTGTACAATTGGTGCTCTGCAATTAATTGACGGTGCTCATTGATAATTTCATCATCGATCCAGCTGTTATTTACTTTACTCGTGACTATTTTAGTTTTTGGAAAATGTAAATCAAAATAATATTTAAGTGTGTTATAGAAGTAAGTAAATTTGTCTTCAACATTACAGTTATAAAGCTTTGTCCAATCCTCCTTGGAGAGATCATGAATGAAGAGTTTAATGTTTTCAGGTTTAAATCTTCTTTCAAATTTATGTATTTTAGAATTTATATTCTTTTTACTTTTTAAATTTAAAATTTTGAAGAGTTGTCCATCATGGTCTGACAAAGCTGTGATTAAACTTTCTACTTTAAAACATTTGTCATCTATGTTGGTGATAAAATTATCAATAGCTGATTCATTATGTTCAGTAACTCTAGTTGGTATTTTAATAGTATATTGAAAACCATGCATTTGTATTATATTCACAAAACTTTTTAGCGAATTTCCCTATAGGGAAGTAGCTATTACCGTAGGTCTCATGGTAAGACTTAGGCCCGGGACCGATTTACTTTTTCATTTTGATGTCCCCAGAGGCCAAAAACACCATTCGTTCAAATTTTTATATATGTATATATATATATATATATAGATATATATATATATATATAGATTTATATATATATGTGTCCGTGAACACGATAACTTGAGTAATTTTTATCCGATTTTGATGAAATTTGGTTTGAAGGTGTAAGGCGGGATAAACTTGAATGAGTTCGCGATCCAGCATGATCGGACCATGGGAACAAGATTTTATGGGGGGTTTTATGGGGTAAAAATTGGTTTTTCTCACTTTTGACCCTCAAAACAAAAAATTTTCCAATTTTTCTCTAAACCTTCTTAAAGAGCTTAAAAAAACAAACAATTCAGTATATCAAAGTGTTTTTGTACGGTTATTGGTTACTGTTTTAATACCGTACAGTATATAGATTAATGAGAATTCATTAGTTTTGATTCAAAGTATATTATTTAATTCAGATACAGTTATAAAGCAAGAACCTTCAAAATATTTACAATTCAAAGTCAATAAACCAACAGATGTTAATTATAACATCTGCTTAATATTACAACATCTCTCCTTTTTAGTTGCCCTCGTATCTTTTCACAGGTTTCACGATTCTTCCAAACCTTGTTCTAACTTCTTCATTAGATTGGAGACTTGGTTGTGAATAAGAAGGATTGTTATTGTTTACAAACAGCCTTGTATTGAAAGTTGGTGTACTGGTATTTCTAGAGACTTGTCTTGGTGCTTTCTGATTACTCTGATTAGTGTTGTTGGTTTGAGAGGTAGGGGTTTTGAGTAAGCTCCGTTCATTGTTTAAGTCTATAGGAGTTTTCGGAGACTGATCGTTATTTTTAGAGAAAGGAAGTGGAGTAATACTTGCTGATTGTTCAGGACTGGTTTGGCTTTTGTACGGAATCAAGTGGTATCTGTTTCGGCGTACTGTGTTTCTTTCAGTATTTACCCAATAAGATCTTGGCTCATTGGCTAGGTTTGTTATTGTACCCTGACGTTTTAGATCTTTGATCCACACTTTTTGTCCTCGTTGCAACTGGGGTAAATCCCTGGTACCGTGATGCTTATCATATTGATTTTTGTAGGATTCTCTGTATTTTTCCTCCCTCTTCTTGAAACTGGATAAGTCAGGTCTTTCAGAAAGCTTCTGTGGCAATACAGGTAAATTATCTCGTAACCTCCTGTTGAACAAAAGTTGTGCTGGGCTAAGCCCGTTGGCTGTAAGGGGTGTGTTCCTGTAGGTGCAAGGTATGGGTCTTCTTTGTTCTTTCGTAAGACACTTTTAGCTATTTTTACAGCAGCTTCTGCAGAGCCGTTACTTTGATGATGTCCGGGACTGCTTGTTGTTAGTTTGAAGTTGTACTTTTGTGCAAAAACTTTAAACTCAGAATTTTCTAAGCATGTCCGCTGGGAAGCAAACTGAGTTCCACAGTCTGATCTAAGTTCGACAGGTATTCCGTGGCGACAAAAAATTGATTTGCATTTCTCTATTATCTCACTTGTAGTTAATGTTTTTAATGTTGCTATTTCAAAGTATCGACTGTAACAGTCTGTCATTACTAGAAACCAAGTCCCATTAATTTTGAATAAATCGATGCATGCTTTCTCCCATGGACGAGAAGGAATTTCAGATGTCATTAGTGGTTCATGATGCTGGGATCTAAATTCTGTGCATTTAGGACACTCATTAACCGTTTGTTCTATGTCCGAAGATATACCTGGCCACCACATGCTGTGACTTGCTCTAAGTCGGCATTTACTGATTCCAAAATGTCCGGAATGAATTCTATTTAGCATATCAAGTCTTAGGTCACTAGGAATAATGAGTCTATCTCCTTTCAGCAAAACACCTTCACAGAAGGAAATTTCGTGGCGGACTGGGAAGTAAGGTTTTAATGCATTAGGCAATTTGGATTTGTCCGGCCATTCAGAGGAGCAAAACTGCTGAATTCTTCGGAGAATCGGGCATGATTTTTGTGCATCACATATTTTCTGGATTATAGCATCGGTTGTACCCAAATTTGTAATTACTGAACTAACAGCAAATTCAACTTCTTTTTCTAAGTCGTATGATTCTTTAGAAGGCAGAGGGCTTCTTGAAAGACAGTCGGCTGTCGCAAGATGTTTTCCTGGAGTGTATGTAACTCTATAGGAGTATCTCATAAGTCTTAGACGTAGTCTCTGAATACGGGGTGTTAGGTCATTCAAATCTTTGTTTGTTAGAATACTAACGAGAGGTTTGTGGTCTGTTTCAATGATTATGTCTTTGCCAATTATGTATTGTTTTAGTTTATCACAGCTCCA